TTGGTTGACCTAATGCAGAAAATTAAGGTGAAATTCTAGTAAAATGCGTCGTAAGCATATATCAGCTATGAATGCAAACAACTCCACACGCTGTCAGAAAGCCCAAGGCGTAGCACCTGCTGCTTCTGGAAGGACGGACACCAGTGCCAAGGACTGGGCCCCTGTGCCTGGCCCGGCACAGGCCAGGCCCTCGGGTCTGCTGACGCCCAGGCCGGGTCCCAGCGCCCGGCGCAGCCCTGCTTTCGTGCGCTGCCGTGCACGCGCTCTCTGGTCGCACAGAGCAGAGCTGTGTGGCACAGAGGTATCATTCCCCAGGAATCCGAACCCGCAGCGCCTCCCAGGGGCTGAGCCCTCACCAGCACCTGCTCACACGCACCTGTGTGAGTGCCGGCACCACTTCAGAGCCATGGATGCATTTGATTTTCAAGCTGCTTCTCTCAGCATAAGTGCACGCGACTGGCATCCTGGGCCAAGGTTTATACCATGCAGAGGAAGCCCCGCTGGAGACACAGGGACCAGGTGACCTGGGGGGGGCGGGGGCAAGGCATGGCTGAGCCTGGCTCCTCCTGCGGTGGGCGGAGGAGAGCACAGGAGTGGGACCTCATGTATCCTCCATGTAGCTCCTTCCGCCAGTCCCTCCAGGACACCAGGGTGTCCCCGCGGGCCGGATGTGGAGACCCATGGCACCTACCCATTCAGAAGGCCCCTCCGCTGCAGGGCCGGTGCCAGGGGCAGGGGAAACTGTGCATGTGTGTGTACGCACGGACACACATACCCATAGACAGATATACATACATACACACACATGTGTGCATACACATCCACTACTCAGATCAACAGAAGGCCTGGCTTCTGTCTGAGCTGGGGTCCACTGCCCTCCTGGGGCAGGTGTGTCTGCAGCTCCCCCTGCTGTGCTTTGGCTAACCAGCAGCCATTTCCACCCCTGCGTGTTTCCATGCCTGACTTTGGGAACAGGGCCTTCTCTGCCCCTTGGGTTCTCCTCCTAGGACGAGGTGCCGCGACACTGCGGTGGGGTCCAGGCTACCCCAGGCCAGGGTCTACCTCCAGAGAGTCAGCACCCAGGAAAGACCAGTGAGCTTTCCATGCTTGGCTGGTAGCTATGGATAGAGTCCACAACCTCACTATTCAGCAGGGACTGGTTAACTCAGCTGCAATTGGTTGTGGGCCTTGAACTCTGGGCCTGGGCGCTGTCCCTAAGCTCTTCAGATCAAGGCTGGCACTCTACCACTTGAGTCACAGCACCACTTCCAGTTTTCTGGTGGTTTATTGGAGATAAGAGTCTCACAGACTTTCCTGCCCAAGCTGGCTTTGAACTGCGATGCTCAGCTCTCAGCCTCCTAAGTAACTAGGATGACAGGCGTGAGCTAGCAGCACCTGGCTTAGCTTATCTTCTTAAGCATGATGTTCTCCAGATCCATCCATTTTCCTGCAAATGATACAATTTCATTTTGCTGTCTATGATCTTAAATAGTCTGATGAAATAATGGGAATACCTCAGATGGGGTGGACAGGCTTGGGTCCCAGCACCATGCTATTTCAGGTGGTGGAGCCTTGCAGAGGTCCTAGGTCACTAAGAGAGTGGTTTGGTCTGTGTGAGGTCACCACCACCGTCACTATCATGAGTACATCACCATCATCATCACTGCCTACCATCATCACCGTGAGCACCATGTACATCACCACCACCGTCACTATCATGAGTACATCACCATCATCATCATTGCCAATCACCATCACTGTGATCACCATGTGAGCACCATGTACATCACCACCACCGTCACTATCATGAGTACATCACCATCATCATCATTGCCAATCACCATCACTGTGATCACCATGAACAGCATGTACATCACCACCACCGTCACTATCATGAGTACATCACCATCATCATCATTGCCAATCACCATCACTGTGATCACCATGAACAGCATGTACATCACCACCACCGTCACTATCATGAGTACATCACCATCATCATCACCGCCCATCACCATCACTGTGATCACCGTCAACACCATGCACATCACTACCACCGTCACTATCATGAGTACATCACCATCATCATCACTGCCTAACATCATCACTGTGATCACCGTGAGCACCATGTACATCACCACCACCGTCACTATCATGATTATACCACCATCATCATCACTGCCAATCGCCATCACTGTGATCACCATCAACACCATGCACATCACCACCACCGTCACTATCATGAGCATCACCATCATCATCACTGCCTACCATCATCACTGTGATCACCGTCAACACCATGCACATCACCACCACCGTCACTATCATGAGTACATCATCATCATCATCACTGCCTACCATCATCACTGTGATCACCGTGAGCACCATGCACATCACCAACACCATCACTATCATGAGTACATCACCATCATCATCACTGCCCATCACCATCACTGTGATCACTGTCAACACCATACACATCACCACCACCATCACTATCATGAGTACATCACCATCATCACTGCCAATCACCATCACTGTGATCACTGTCAACACCATGCACATCACCACCACCATCACTATCATGAGTACATCACCATCATCATTACTGCCTAACATCATCACTGTGATCATGGTCAAAACCATGCACATCACCACCACCATCACGATCATGAGTACATCACCATCATCATCATCACTGCCTACCATCATCACTGTGATCACCATCAACACCATGCACATCACCAACACCATCACTATCATGAGTACATCACCATCATCATCATTGCCAATCACCATCACTGTGATCACCGTGAACAGCATGCACATCACCACCACCATCACTATCATGAGTACATCACCATCATCATCATTGCCAATCACCATCACTGTGATCACCGTGAACAGCATGCACATCACCACCACCGTCACTATCATGAGCATCACCATTGGCATCATTATCATGAGTACATCACCATCATCATCACTATCATGTGTAAACCATCATCATCACTGCCAATCATAATCATTGTGACTTTATGAGCTCATGTCTGCACATCTAGTTTGGAGGGAAACTCCTAGAAAACTGAAATTAGAAACAGAGTCTGCTTGGTATGAGGGCTGCACCATGCACTTGCAGGTATGCTCTAGTTCAGCAGGAATAATCCCAGATGGGGCATGGCTTGCTGGTAGAATGCTTGTCTAGCAAGCACCAGGCCCTGAGTGCAGACGCTAGGGCCACCAGAGAAAGCTGTAACTGCCCAATACACACACATGGGCACACACAGATTTAACTGGCTACTTGCCACGCTATGGTACTTCATCTGCTCGTTCTCATCTTCTGGCTAAATGCTGAGCAGGGTACAGAGCGAGGAGGGTTGGAAAGTTCTTGCAATGCCTAGTGGGTAGAGGCTGCAAGGATGGTGCTCGTGTGCCGCTTTCCAGGCCTTGCTCTGACGCAGCTGCGTCATCACAGCTTCTGACACACTCCCGAGGACAAATTCAATATGCTTTCCAGGTCGTTTTAATCTTGGGCTCTCAAGCACCTAAGGCTTCTGCTCTCAGCAAAGTGAACTTTTCTTGAGCTCTTCAGTCCTAAGACAAGTGAAAATACAAAAACTGGGCCCAAGAGAATATGAAGTATATACCCTTACACCATAATTCGCCTAAACTTCAGCAATGCCAAAGTAAACAAACAGAAGCTGGAGGCAAAGCACACATGGGGGTCTCTTTGGATGAAGGGTCTAGAATAGAGAATTGGTAGAGACAGAAAATAGACTAGAAACGCCCAGAGCTGCGAGAGGAAGCTGACCCCTGTGGTTCGATGGATACAAAGTTTTTGTTCGGGATGGACAGGCCTGGAAAATATTACATTCAGAGGGGTAAGTCAAGTTCTGAGAAAGGAAAGGCCCAAGTTTTCTCTCCTATGTAGAAGATAGATCTAAGTTATGAACACATGTGAAAGCATATGGCATCACAGGCATATAAACATAGCCATGTTGTCTACAGTTTGGCATGTGGCACAGGTCAGCATTGGGGTAACAACTGACTCACAGTGTGACAAAATAAACTCTGATGCATGCGATGTCAGAGGTATCGAGAGGAGGGGCAGACAGAGGGAGAGGAAGGGTGGGTGGACTCAGATGTGATATTCCACACGCACAGGTGAACACAGAGCCAGGTAAGCTGGGGCACAGGTCGGGTGGGAGAGGCCGGAAGAATGGTGGACACGCTGACTTAGAAACTGACATGTTGAATTGAAGCTCCCGTGTACAAATACTTGAAGATAATAATTTTCCAGATCTGGGAATAGTGGTCCCAAGGACAACATTTGGAACGTATTCAACTTCACCAAAGTCAACACCTAAAAACGTGAAGATGGTAATTTCATGTTGTGTGCATTTTAACCACAAGAAAAAAAAAAACAGGTGAACAAATCCCTGCAAGCCAGACACGGTTGCTGAAAGTGAAGTGTGAGGTGGGTTGCATCTGTTCCCGGGGAGAGGGCGGTCCGCCCAGCTTCGGGGGAGGGAGGGGGGAAGGGGGGTCCGCCCAGCTTCGGGGGGGGAGGGGGGAAGGAGGGGCCCGCCCAGCTTCCCGCCTCCTAAGGAAGGAGCTTCATTATTTATTAGTGAAAGCCATCCAGCAGGCATCGCGCTGTCAGCTGCCGGAATCCAATACTGAGAGGCCCCCACTGCTAGCGCCCAGGCGGAGGTGAGTCAAGGCAAACGCAAATGCACCTCTTTAATTTCAGCGGAATTGATTAGGTAACGACCTCCGCCCCCAAGGCGCCCTTCCCCAGCCTCTGTAGATGAGAAGTGCCCGCGGCAGTCCACAGGCTTTGAGCTGAGCCCCGCACAGGGCAAAGGGCTTCCCTGAGTCAATGCAAGCAGCTCATCACTGGACGAGACCAAGCGTTGGAGGTCAGAGAACCATGGGCTGGGCCCCATCCTGCCATCTTGTGCATCTGAAGGAGAAGCTAGTGTCTTGGGTGTGGGAGCTCAGAAGCCAGGGAGTGGCCGGGGGGCGGGGAGGGGACTACCGTAGCTCTTCCTGGAGTGGGGTTCTTCCTGGAGCGGGGGTCTTCCTGGAGCGGGGGTCTTCCTGGAGCGGGGATCTTCCTGGAGTGGGGGTCTTCCTGGAGCTGGGTTCTTCCTGGAGCGGGGGTCTTCCTGGAGCGGGGATCTTCCTGGAGCGGGGGTCTTCCTGGAGCGGGGGTCTTCCTGGAGCCGGGGTCTTCCTGGAGCGGGGGTCTTCCTGGAGTGTGGGTCTTCCTGGAGGCTGGGGTCTTCCTGGAATGGGGGTCTTCCTGGAGGCTGGGGTTTTCCTGGAGGCTGGGGTTTTCCTGGAGTTGGAGTCTTCCTGGAGCGGGGGTCTTCCTGGAGGCTGGGGTCTTCCTGGAGGCTGGGGTCTTCCTGGAGTGGGGGGTCTTCCTGGAGCGGGGGTCTTCCTGGAGTCTGGGTCTTCCTGGAGGCCGGGGTCCTGCTGATGGGTGTGGCGTCTGCTGTGCTCAGGAGGACCTCTTCCTCTCCAGGGACCATGGAGGCTGACCCAGCACTGGTTCTGCCCGGCCAAATGGAACAGCACGGAGCAAGACGGGCCTGCGCCAATCGCATTGCGCGTGCCCTCCAGGAAGAAAGATATGAGCTGCTTCTAACTTTTCTAATAATCAAAATTACTCCAAACAACAACCTACCCAATAAAGCTCAATAAAGAGAAATTGAACCCCTAATAACAGAGTGTAGAAGAGACTCTGACTTCCAGAACATCCGTTTATGTAGCCTAAGTTTTGCTGCAAATCTTCCATCTTGTGTGTCAAGTGTGTCACGCTCTAGATTTTGCATCAAGGGCTTCCGGCCTTGCTGTTGAGGAGAGAGGCAGCTTTTCCAGGAACACAGGCCTGCTGAGCCGCAGGGAGCTCCCGATCCCGGGCACACCGCCTTCCGAGCTGGCCAGGACCGACATCAGAACGCCATGAGGAGCCGTGGTACTACCACCTTCCCACAGGACCGCGCAGAGCACCCACCCCGGCCCGCTCATGTCTGCACATGGGACAGTCGGGGACCCCACCCCCAACAGGGAGGATGCAGGGAGCCAGGCCTCCAGGGGGCGGTTGCTGGCTTCCTAGCTTACACACTTCCAGGAAGCGCAGCCCCCACTTCCCAACCCACACAGGCTGCTGGGATGGACGTGCTTCAGTAAGCGCCTTAATGTTCAGAACGGGAAGGCTGCAAGCACACAAAGGTCAGCCTGCAGGCCCCAAAGTCCCAAAAGTCCCTCTGGGCAGCCTTGGAGGGTGTAGGACACTCGAAGGGGGAGGCGCTGCCCGACTGTCAGCTGCTCTGCACAGCCCACGCCAAAGGAAGCCCGGCCCGAGGCTCAAGTGTGGGAGCGGGTTTTGTTTTCCTACAGGTGCTGACAACCACTCCAGCATCCACCTCACGCTCCATGTGCGATCTGAGCTCAAGTTCCGGTGACATCAGGATGACTGGGGTTTGGCATGGGGGCTACTTTGGGGGCTACGTACGTAGCTGTGGCCGCCTTCCTGCACAGCCCGAGCTGGCTCAGGTAATCCAGTTTACGCCCGACTTTACTAAGCTGCTTGTTTCTCTGTGCATGTGTGCCAGTTACGAGAGTAAGCAAAGCGAGTGGCAGGGAGCCTGCTGCCCCGGCAGGCCCAGGCTCCGGCGGCAGCGTGGAGCACCAGGGTACCCCGCCCCGTCCTCAACCGCACTTCCCACCGCTTCTCTTCCTCGCGAGATGTCCACAGAATGAGCATCTTGCAGGCTGTGTGATCCTGCTGCAAATCCTGTAACTGATCACATGGTTGAGATCAATTAAAACTAAAATGGGAATCTCTTGGAACCGGATGCCGTGGCATGTTTGTGCTATCCTCTCCTGGAGGAGATGTCCTGTGCAGGCGTGGGCGGTGTGCACACTCACACACACGCACACACCGCTCAGCTGTGGATGAATGTGTATTGTCTGGGAATTGCAGAGTCGCATTTTACACGTCCTTACCTACTTCACGTCAGCGGTGCGTGGGTTCCGAGTCTCCCGCCCTGGCTCTGAAGCTGTTGCATGTTCAGCTTGGACGTTCGGACGTGCCAGCCTTCCTGCTGAGAGCGGAAGGAGGGCCTTCAAGGCTTCTGCGGGCAGCCTCTCAGCGGGGGCCTCGTCGTGTGCGTTGGCACTGATGAACCATAAGCTGGCACGCTTGGCGCTGTGCCAACCGAACGTTATTCAAAAAGCGGCAGCGGGGCCAGGCTGGGGCCTGGGCTGCGGTGTGCAGAACGCTGCGTCGGACAAGGCTGCTCCCGACTCGCTTTTTGCCAGCTATGTAGAGTTTCGAGTTTTTTCTCCATCTCAAGCAACATTGGAATACACATTCCTAGTATGCATAAAATAAATTTCTGGGTAGAGATCCCTAGTTTGTCAGCATCTTCCTCCAAAGTTAGTAGAGAAGCACGGTGAGCTTCTGTCCCGGGTGGCTGAGGCGCTTCCTGTGGTGTGAAACTTCATCTTCATCTGGCTGAGCCTTTGCTGTGTCTTATCTGTGAACCCTGCACCTCATTTTCTTGATCGCCCTTCTATTTCTTTACATTTCTTCCATATGGCTTTGAGTGAGATTTTACACATACATGCATACATGTGTTCATTCATCCATAAAACATTGTAAAACTCTAGTTCCAGAAATCAGTCATTCATTCTATAATTACAGTATATGTTTACGATTGTGACTTGTCTCGTGTCTGCAGTGCTGTGAGTTTCTATCTTTCACTATCTTTAAGCAGTTGTGCGGCACTTGTGAGTACAATGCGTGTGGTCGGTGTCACCTTCAACCTCCCACCCGCCCTCGCAGCCCACACGCCCACTTCGCTGAACTCTGCGGATCTACCTTGGGTTCTCCACAGCACTCTCCCCTCTCTCCTCAGTCTAGTTTTAAGGTAATAACATGTTTCTGTCCTTCCTCTTGCTGTGCTGTGTCTCTTTGAAGAAGGCACTGATTTCTCACCTCCAAGTCATAAAGGCAGCCACTCACACCAACCTTCAACGTGGCCAAAGGCAATGGCCCTGGCGCTGGTCTGTGGGGTGGTTTCACGCAGGATGTGAACCAGGAGTCTAACTTCACCTGTGATGGCCAGTGTGGGTCACCCTGCCTGGACCGGGAGCTGCCTAACAGGCTATGACAGGGCACTTCCGTGTGTGTCTGTGAGGATGGCTCTGAGATACTGGCCTGGGAGAGGGCGGAGACCCTCCCCAAAGGCCTGTTGACCCTAGCCAACGGGCCGGGGCTGATGGGACCAGAACGGAAGTCGGCAGCCAGCACCCAGGACCTGGGCTTCCTAGCACATCACCAGTAGATCTCCCAACCTTCCGGCGTGCTCTCGCACCAGAGAGTCTCCAGGGAGCGCCCAGGCCATGTTCCTCAGTCCAGGTCTGCATCCGTGGCCTTCCTGATTCTCAGGCTTCTGGCTTCTAAGAGGTAGCAGCTACTGGATTCTCTGCCTTCCCAGCACAGAGACAGCCATTGTGAACTTAGTCAGCCTCTGATCATGTAAGCCAATGTATAATCCCTGCCATTTGTACCTACCTAGTTCTAGCTATCTATTTATCATCTATCTATCATCGATCTATCTATCCATCCAGCCACCCACCTACGTATCATCTTGGCTCTGCCTCTGGAGAACCTCAACTAAAACAACCATATTTTCCATATTGATAGGCAAGCTTTAAATGATATGCAGGAACTTGTCCTTTTTTTTTTTTT